CCACTCCAGGGCCTTGACATGCACTGTTGCCTCTGACTGGAACATTCTTCCACACTCTTCACCTCAGTAATGTACTATTCTTCAACCCTCTCTGCAGTAACCGTCAGTGCAGACCACAAGGGAGCAGAGCTGAAATTTTATTTCTCCCCAGCAGCTGTTCCCAACATGCCAGTCTAAGTCATGTCCATCCCTGTCATTAAGCGCATACTTCAGCTACTCTTCCTTCTTAACACTTACCCCAATTTTAATGACTTATTTACTTATGAATGTCAACTTCACACCAGATTATGAGCTCTAGTGAGAGGGTGTCAATTTGCTCTACTGACTGCTATGCGTCACCATCGCTCGCTAGCTCCACACCGGGCACACTACTGACTGAGTGTACAGATGGATGGCCGTGTCTTGAAATTCTTCCTCCAGTGGTTTCCAAGCCACTGCTGAGATCTGTGCCCCTAACACCACTTCACCTGTTTCATTTACTTGTTCTTATTCTTCTATGTGTCTGTGTCCCAAGGTTCTGCCTCCATTCTCCCAAGAACAACCCTGGCCTATGACCTCAGAATAGTTTTTATCCTGATAACCTCAAACGTATGACTCCTCCCTGCCCGGAGCCGGAGCTGGACCTCGGACCTCCACATCCTGCTGCCTGCGTGGTCCCTCGGCTTGGCCTGCTTCACAGGGCACTTCAGCATCCGTATCATGTTCTGCCTCCAAACTTCGATGGCTCCTTCCTCTGCACACTTATCCTCCCTCCTTCCTTCTCCCCCCAAATATCACATTGCAGGTCCTTTCTCTCTGCCGCTGCCCCACAGGAACCATTTTCATCCCAGCCTCTCACTACATATAAATCCTTACCCAGACCTCGTCTTCCTTCACAACCAGCCTCTCACTGCCTCCCCCAACCACCACTCTCAGGCCCTGGCCTGTCCTCACGCTGCCTCTCCCACCAGCAAGTCTCCTCCCATCATTGTCTGAGGGGGGAAGGTGAGATATGGGGAAAGACCATAATTTATTAAGTACATGTTATAATTCTGGCACTGTGACCAGATATTTTATATGCACAGTGTAGGTATATAAATGTGGACCATTTCTACAGAGCTCTTGAGCCTGTCCTCAAGGCAATGACAGCGCATCGGAGGGACTGCCAGCTCTCTCTGTGGGGGGCATCGTGTTCTTCCAACAGAGCTCAGCTCTCCAGTGGCCTCCTGCTGCCAGTCCCCGTCCCTCCTGGCCTGTGCCTGGGCCATGCCCCAAATCTAGAGATGCAGGGTCCTTAACCTTCTCTCCACCCCCTTGGGGTCAAGACCTCAGAAAGGCCTAGCACCGAGGGACTCCGAAGGCTTGCTCTCTGCCTTGCTCTAGTGTGGCTGACTGAGAAATGCAATTGCTTGTTTTGTATGCTTCCAAAAGAAGAGAAGGAAAAAAGGCTTGGATTGCTGCTTAAAACATAATTAGCACCATATTTAACAACATTTGGACGAGAGTGCTCCCCAGCAATGCTGAGAAACCTGCAGTGCAGAGACGGAGGTCACAGGGCTGGCTTGTGCCCGGGCCTCAAGTCCCTTCTCCTTTGGCTCAGGGGTCATTCTTGTGTTTAGACTCACTAACTTCTTAAAATGGATGGGGACACCATTGCGCCACTTCAGAGAGGAAGGGTGATGGGGTGGTTTCATCTGAGGCAGGTCCTCCTCAGCGCCTTCTCTCGGTGCCTTTCAGTGTCCAGCGGAGCTGACAGTTCCTACGCCTCCCAGGCAGGAGGAAGCGTCCCCACTTCCCACAGTGGAGCCCCTTCTGCCCAGAGGAGGCCTTGTGCTCACGGTCACTGTGACCCCGCAGCCTTTATCCTTTGAACTCCGCTTTCTAAGACACTGGTAATGAAGCCAGCAGTTTATTTATTTTTAGCAGGTAAACCATTTTCCCTTCTTCTTCTTTCTTCTTTCTTCTTTCTTCTTCCTCCTTCCTCCTTCCTCCTTCCTCCTTCCTCCTTTCTCCTTCCTTCCTTCCTTCCTTCCTTCCTTCCTTCCTTCCTTCCTTCCTTCCTTCCTTCCTTCCTTCCTTCCTTCCTTCCTTCCTTCTCCTCCTTCTCCTCCTTCTCCTCCTTCTCCTCCTTCTCCTCCTTCTCCTCCTCCTCCTCCTCCTCCTCCTCCTCCTCCTCCTCCTCCTCCTCCTCCTTCTCCTTCTTCTTCTTTTTTTTGAGGGACACATTGCCCAGGGACTACCGGTTTCCATTTTAAAGAGTGAACTAAGATGGGTGATTGCGATAACCCACCTGCGAGCTGTTCCCCTCACACCTGGCTCCGCTCCATCCCAGGCCAAAGTCTGCTCTGGAAGCCAGGGCCTGGGCTTGACCGGGGGAGGGAAGTCCTGGACATGCAGGCTGGGGCTCGTGTTAGCGGAGCCAGTGTAGTCCAGGCTGAGCACAGGTGAGTTATGAACTACAGTTTGCTTCCTTTCACTAGATGGATAACCTGGAGATGCCGACATGGACCATGCTTATCATCTCCCAGTGTATTTTCTTATGCTTTCCTTCCAGGTCACTTTTATCAGAAGGAAAGAGAGGTGAGCGGCACCCAGGGGCCTAACACGGACGTCTCTTGTGAAAGGGGTGAGAGGGGCTGGGAAGAGAGAGGCTTCAGAGCCACCCTCAACCCCTCACACTCTCTGTATTTCTCTGATGTGATGGAAAGGAGCTCAATATCCAAGACTCAATACCAGCCTAGGGCTGTACTCACCCCAGCCCTCTGCTCTGGCTCCCTGAACAGGTTTTTGCTTCCTGCTGTGCTCTGACCTCTGCCCTCTCCCCCAGCCTCACCCCCTGCAGTAATGAGCTTCTCCCTCCCCATTCTGACTTAAGGACACAGCTTCCCTACCCGCCCTCAGAAAAGCCCAGCCCCTGTGCTCGCTGGAAGTGCCTACTCACGCCAGCCTGGCCCCACAGTTTTCTCCCTCGATGTCACCGCCAGCCACGTTCTCAGTGTTGACAGACTCCGTCTCACTTGTGGGCATGCTCACTGCAAGAGTCAAAGGGATGCAGAACAAGGCATGAGGGCGGGAGGAGAAGGGGAGAGAAGAGCATTAGTGTGCAGTACCCCAGTCTCAGGAGGAGGGTAGCCTGCAGCACCCGCTGGTGAGGGTGGGGGTGCTGCTGGGAGCAGGCTGAGGCCCTGCACTGCCCTGGCCAGGTCCAGGATTTCCATGAGGGAGTGACATGCCTGCTGCTTATCTAGGGTAGGTCATGTTGATGAGGGCACTCTCAACAGTGGGAATGTGGAAGGGAACCTGGCGATCGGATCATTTACCCTATAGGAGACATAGTCAAACACTCACCATTGGACCTTTCTCCACCCTCAACTCTACACCCTCGGAGAAACTGTGCAAGCTTGTCCATTTGTATCCACTACTTGCCATAAAAAGGGGATCTTTCCGGAAAATATTTTATTTCTCTTACCTTTTCCCACCCATTCTCAGGGGCTCCATTCCCAAACATAGGGTCCTGCTTATTTGTAGAAAAGGCATCTCCATCGCCTGCATGAACTACTAGATGGATTTAGCGGAAAGCCTCCTTTCTGTTGTGCATACGGGGTCCTGAGTCTGTTACGTCTGGGACAGTACCTGCCACCTAGAGCCTGTGCGGACCATGCACTGAGGCGCACACTGGCACTGCAGCCCGCAGGAAGGAGGAGTCCCACACCGAGTTTACTGTGGCCTGATGCTCCACTGCAGGCACGCAGTCTCCCTTCCAGCAGCCGGGACATTCCCACCTCCACAGGCTGACCTGGGATATAAACTACCTATTTCCACTGGTGCTGACCTGCTGGCCATCTCCAGTCTCTCCCTGAGATGGCGAGGGCTGAGCTTTGAAACCAGCAGGAGTTTTCACCTTGGAGCACATTTGATGGCTTAGAAGAAGCCATTTCTTTTATTATTATTTTTGATTCCAAGTAAGAATTTAATTCAAGAGATTTATTTTCTACCTTCTATTACCCTTTTAATATGACATATCAGTGAGTTCCTTATTTGTGCCAACCTTTGTTCACAGCATGGGCCCTGGTTCAGCTCTCCTTGCAGAACACACTCCTCATGTGGGGAGAAAACCACTAGCCCTCAGCAGCCAGAGAATCTGCATTAGTGAGGGTGTGGCATCAGGTGATGTGGCACCATGTGACAAGTCCCCATGGGGCCACCACAGCCCAGGAAAAGACTTCTACTGGTTATATGGATTTCCCCAGTTTCTTCTCTTGTGGATGAACACAAGATGGGCGAGTGGGAAGAGACTCATTTCAAGAACACCGAAGATACAAAGAGAAAGCCCATGACTTACCATGTGTTTGACTGTCACATCTGAGCAACCTGTCCACCTTGGGGTCATTTTCAATAAAGTTGGGTAATAAGAAATCTAGATGCCATTTTATAGACACTTGGAGCTGGATGGGACTTTAGACATTATCTAGCTCTAACTTGTCCCCTTCACCTCACAGGACAGGAAAACGAGGTATAAGGAAGGGACAGATGCCCAGGGTCACACAGAGTTTGGGGTGGAATTTGGATTGGAGCACAAGCGTCAGGACCCTCTGTACCATGGTCACTGGATTGTCCCCATGTTGACCAACTCCCTTTCCTACACTCTAGGACAGATGAGGTTCTTAAAGCCAAATCAGGCTACAGGGACATCATCAGAGCACGGTGAATAGCCCAAGGACAGTGTTGAATTTTACAGCACTTACACTCTCCTTGCAGCCCAAGGTCTGAGGGAGCTGGGGAGCAAGACCAGACCTTAGGGATGGTTTTAGCCCTGGGAACTGGGAAGGTAAGACTTTCAGAATTCCTTAGTCCATCCACATTAATGAAGAAATAATATAATAGAAGAGCTTTCAGTCTTTTAATCCATCTCTCTCCAGCGATTTCTGGCCGAGGTCCCTTTAATTCTTCCAACATCGTTATTTAAAGAGCTGAGTTGTGTACAGAAAACTCTCTGACTTTCCATGACATGCTGCTCCCAGAGTGCCCCTTAGGTGTGGAGTGGTGTGATGGTGGTGGTGCTGGGCATGGAAAGACAACCAAATTAGGAGTAGGCAGGCCTGGGCATTAGGAGGAACCATATTATCTTCTAAATCAAGGCACTGCCTGTACCAGTACCAAGATTACATTTACAGTGATCTTAATCTTGGCTGGCACCACCCAAAGGAAAGATTCCATCAAGGACTAGCTGCTGACTATTATGTCTGCTGACTTTATACAAAGAGATGACAAGGCAGTGGCTGTGAGTGAGACAGATTACCACCCCCTTACAAAAACACAAACATACATACAAATATATACACACACATATAAACACACACGACCACAGCATCACAAGCCATCAAGAAAAATACCCTCCCATCCAGTCCGGTATGTAGCAACACACATTAACACACAGAGCACAGGGAACGTTACCATGGGTTTCTGTGGAGTGACTAAACCAAGCAAACTTCCCTTTCTTCTGATCAAGCAAGCCTGCTGCAGCTCCTCCTTTCACAGACAAGATGGTCATTTTCAAGAACCAGGAACAAGACATCAATAGTGAGCATGCAGTCAGCCACGGGCAAAAGAAAGAAACAAAGAACTCAGCTTTCACAAAGAACATCCATTTCATCTCCAAAAATAAACTGAAAATTGTAAAAATCAATAAACCAAAACAAATAATAACACATAATAAAATAGAACCAAAACCCCAAATCACGTGAACTAATGACACAAAACAAATGACAGACATTGGGGAGAAGGAATTACTGCCGCAGAGGCTTCAGTCTACACTGGTGTGTCTGGTTAGTGGCTCTGAGGAGAGAGCTTCCAGGGAGGGGTCACCATGCATCCCTGCTGACTTCTGTGGGAGGTGCCCTTGAACAGGCTCCAGTGTAACTGCTAAAATCAAACCATAGCATTGGTGTCCTCCTTCACCCCCACCCAACAGCCACCTGACTGGACCCTCCCCCACCTGTATTAGGTTCAAGGGCTCCATCGCCACTTACAACCAGGACACTTGCAGGTAGAAACAACTGTGGATCTACTTGCCCCTTTGTCCAATTCAATCATTCAATGCCATTCAGTAAAGACCTACCAAGTGCCGCAGGCCTGATCACATCCCAAAGATATATGTATCAGTTTTTAATGGGTTTAAATAGCAAAGAAGTTGCTCAATTACTTGTCAATGGGTGGTCTTTTGAGGAGGTTTGTATATAAGAAAGAATTATGTGAGCTTCTCTTGGGCCTGGACTGTAGTTGAAGAGAGGGTGCTGGTGAGAGTGTGAAGACAATGATTGCTACAAGTGGAACAGGGGGAGTTCTGTATTCTGCAATGGACTCTGAGATCTAGATATCAAATGCATTAGCAAATTCCCAAGAAAGACAGTTTTCCCACACCTTTTATAGAACTGGCATTAACTGTGCCATGGAGCGTGCTGAGGATGAGTGGGGAATGAGGCATAGTCACCGATGACTAGTGAGGGGGAAATCCCCAACCGCTCATGGACAGAAGCAGCGTCCTGATGAGGAATGGATGGGTGGCCCCATCAGTTCCAGGAAAGAGCATGAAGGGAAAGTCAATCCAAACTTTAGATGCTTCTTTACCTCATCCCCTTGCCCGAAAAGTCAGATGATGTTCAGTGAACATCCTTGAATGCTGTTTGTTAGTGAGAATGCTGAAGACTGGCTCATGATAGAAAAGGGTCAGGCTTATTTTAATCTAGGTGAAGGTCCATTTCCCAAACACATATTTAAAAGACAAAACTTGAAATAAGCAGAAACGTCACAACCTGTAGCATTTTAACTTCTGAAAAACCCTATTTAAAAAAAGCACTGAGAGTGAGGAGCTGACATGAATGACTTTTCTTCTGGAAAAGAAGATGTGTCTCAGTTTAGAATAACAGTCACTCAAGTGAACATCTCACGAGGGGTCTTCTATTCAGAGGGGATAAACATGAGGCTGCCAGTCACCAAGTCTCTGTTCACACACTTGTCTGGGGGTACAGGAACCCTGGCCAATGATGAAAAGCCATAAACACTGTGACTGGTTATATGGAAGCATCATCCCATCCAACTTTTGGCTTTGGCATCAATATTGTCCTATCTTGTTCAACTTCAGAAATAACTGTATGATAATTTTTAAAACAAGAGAAAAAGCTTGGTAAAATAATTGAATTTGACCAGGTTTGGTCCTTCATGCAGGCAAAGTTGGCAAGTGATTGGAAGAGCATCTAAATCATCTCCCTTGTCCAGCCAGGGTGGATCAGTGATCAAGTGTCAACCTATGAACCAGGAGGTCACGGTTCAATTCCAGGTCAGAGCATATGCCTGGGTTGCAGGCTCGATCCCCAGTGGGGAATGTGCAGGAGGCAGCCAATTAATGATTCTCTCTCATCACTGATGTTTGTATTTTTCTCTCTCTCCTTCCTCTCTGAAATCAATAAAAATATATTTAAAAATTAATCATCTCCCTCCACTAGACCTGCTATTTTAGGTAAAGTTGTATCTGAAGGTTTTTTGCCAAAATGAAAATACCTCACCTGGAAGGAACAGTACAATAACATATTAGTGCCTATGATAGTTCATCCCATAAGCCTGTGAAGGAATAAGATGGGCGAGGAAGCAATTGTATTCCTATTACTAAGGGATTAGACAGCAGGATCATAGCTGCTTCTTGGAGGGACTTGCTACCCTAGAGAGATGGACTTGGATTCCTTCTTAGATTCACTAACAGTTGATAGTTGAGATTTATAAATACTGGACATGAATTCTGGGTATAAGATGGACAACTTGACTCCTCCTTTGAACTGGTGGGAAATCAATGCAGAAGATGGCGATGAACCTAGCTAGGTGCCCAAGGACACCTCTCCTCTAAAGGCAGCCCTCTGCATGCCCTGAGAAGTGAAGCCTGAGCCTGCTCATCTGCAGACAATGTGATGATGATTCACCCTCTGTGGAATGAAATGTACATCACTGGATGGATTTAGGAAGAATACCAAGGAAGATCACTAAAGAGAAAGCTGGTTTTCTGACTTTCTAACTTCACTGTTATAGGTACTGGTGGATCAAATCTGGGTCTCTGGGCTCTCCTGTCTCTTGGCTTATGCTGAGAAGATTCCAAAAGAAAATTTTATTTTCACGAAAGAGTAATTAACAGCTGCCATTGCAGGGGGTGGATACATAATTACATATTTGATAATATCACCAATGGCTACAATGAGTACAGACACCATCTTGCCCAAAACTGACTACATCTTGAATTAATGTCGTCTTTTCCCCAAACATCTACTCTTGTTGGCAACTCTTGCTTGAATGGTGCTTAGTAGGACAATTTCTGTGTCTCAAGGGAGGTGCACAGTTCTTGTCTCCCCTGATCTGCCTGGAGAACAGCTGTGTGGATACCAGGGGTATAATAAGCCACTTCTGACAGGAGGTAATCTCCTGAAACTGGAAATCACATGACTCATACAGGGAGAGGAGCATAGGTCTAAATTGCTATGAAGATTGGTGTTTCCTGGTATATCTGGGTTTGCAAACCTTTTGAGGGTTTCTTCACTAAAATTTAGGAATCCTCCATTGAATACCAGGCAGTGCTTAGAAAACACGGCTGCATAGATCAGTTGGCCAGCCTTTCTGCTGCTGTGATCCACAGAGAAAGAACAGGTTCAGAGCACACGATCCTCCAGAAAACTAATGATTGTCTCCAGTCAGATCCTTCTGGGGTTTAAGACAAATCTCCAAGGAGTGGGTCTGCTCCAGGCTGTTGCTCCATGTTAACACTCATGCTTCCCATAAAAAGAAATTAGATCTCATTTAGCCATCTTAATGCAAACATGATGCAACATGTGCCCAAAGATGGCCAAACTCATTTACATGAATAAAAAATGACTTCAGAAGGGCCCAAGGTTTGAGAGTAGGAGCACCTTCAGTATTGATAAAGACAATGCAAGTCACTAAGTTACTTAGCAATCAATCCACAGAGAACACGGAAGCAAAATCTTCTTAGGTATTCTGTCCTTTACTCCTTTTTCCTTCTCCTCTCCTTGCCTTCCTCCTATCTTTCCCATCCTCGAGGCTGGAGGAGACATGTAAAGAACCATCCACATGTAAAACATCTGGCCTTGCTTCTTGAGGCCTTCTGTCTCAGATCATTTTATGCATCATAACTGGCTGAGTGACGATAGAGCAAAACTCCATTGAGGGAATGAGGAATGAATGTGGGGAGAGATGGAGGAATCTGCCTCCTTCCGAAATCTTTGGTCATGCTAAACAGCTTTGACTTTGTCATGGGGGTGGGGCTTTGCAGTGACCTGTTGTGACTGTCAGCAAGAATGGCTGGCCTCTCTTGTGATTTGCCATCTTCATCCTGGAACTCAGCTGGTAGCTTCATTAGCCAAGGTCAGAGAGCTCACTGACTGCTGTCAATAATTCATCTCCTCTTGTTGGAAGAGGGTTAGAGCATCAGGGCCAGACACCCAGGCAGTAGATGAAGGCATTTTCTGCCACCTTGTGCTGCTCTAGTGCTGTGGAGTGCTGTGTGGAGCCGAGGGGCTGAATCCTGGCCGGCCAGTCTGCTGGGACCCACTGCCCAGGCTTCCCTGCACTCTTAGATGGGATGGAAGCACTTATTTTGCCATTTACTGGAAGAAACCAATTTTATTATCTTTTTTGGCAGATGAGTGGTATAATAAGCATTCATTTCCTCAAAGTACTAATCAGAGATATATCTAACAAGCAAGAGGATTCCTAATTTCCTACCTTATTGACTCTAATCTTGAATCTAAAACTCCCTGAAATTTGGCTCCATCCTATCTGTGATGGCTGAAGGTGCCCCCTCAGAAATTCATGGCGATGTCCTAACTCCTGTACCTCGGAGCTGTATTTGGAGCTAGAGTCTTTAAAGAGATAATTACCATTAAATTAAAATGAGGCCATGAGGTTGGGCTCTAATTTAATATGACTGGTGTCCTAATCAGAAGAAAACATTTGGGCACAGCCACTTACAGAGGGAAGACGATGTGCAGACATAGGAACAAGAGAGCCATCTACAAGCTGTGGGGACACACCTGGGGCACACCCTCCCCTCATGGCCCTCAGAAGGAACCAACCCTCCTGACACCCCAATCTTGAACTTTTGGTCTCCAGAACTGTTGAGAATAAATTCCTGTGGTTCTGTTGGTAGAGCTGCCCTTGCAACAGAACGACTAAAGTACTACCTATCCATTCTTGTTTCCTGTTACTTCCAGGAGAAACTCTCCCCGGAGTTGGGACGAGTGAGGCTGGGTGCGCACTCACCTGGTGCTTGCATGTGGGTTGGTGCAGATTACCCTGCTCATTGTCCCTGAATGTGCATCTTTATTCCAACCTCTGGGCTTTTACATATATACTAGAGGCTCAGTGCACAAAATTCGTGCACAGAGTAGGGGTGGTCCCTCAGCCCAGCCTGCACCTTCTCCAATCTGGGACACCTCAGGGGATGTCCGACTGCTGGTTTAGGCCAGATCCCT